GATCGTAGTTGACCTGAGGCATGGTCAATGAGTGGTGCAGTAATGTGCGTACGTACTCCATAGGCACTCTCGAGAAGGCCGGTGGGCGCTATTATTTACGACTGCGACTTCTGATACTTTCCAGAGTTCCCACTAGCACCCAGGTGTTAATGCGTGGCACTATGCAACACCAACCTAACAACACGTAGGCGTGCCATGTTTTAACCTAGTTCTCGTTACGGAGTGATCATTTGCAGGGGTCGAAAAGCTTCATGGGCCGTTCTCTATGTTCATATGGAGATATAAGCTTGAGGAACAGAGGGGAAAAGCTATAAGTAATCAGCCCGTCGCTGGTAAGAATAATGTTTGAAGCTACCGGTAAATACCTAGTGTTAATTCTGTAGAGAGATGAATGGAGTGTAGCACATTTTCAGTATGGACAGTAAATAGGTACGCGTATGTGCGCTAAATTATAGAGTTTCGGCAGGGTAGCACACGTACTTGCAGAAGCTCGTTAGTCTGGCTCAGACTTGGCCTCCCAAGGTTGAACTCTAAAAAATCGGAGATGCGGGGAAAGGTGGGGGCAGCAGGGAGCTTGGGGTCCAGAGCCTCGGCTCACGACCGTCTATCGACACAGTCTCGATTAGTGATCCCTGCTACTGTGCCTTACTACGGCATAGCTCCCATTACAGATAACTTACTCCCCTGATCGTTAGATTCGGCTTTCAATTCCAATTTCACAATTACTCTGCTTCATCTACCTCGTAGTATGTAGAAGAGAAAAGAAAGAAGAAAGAAAGTGAACAACAGCGTCACATATACTCAGATATCCATATCTATATACCCGCTATGGCGGACTTAATCAAGGTCTCGTACTCGGGCCGTGTAGCCACCATCACCATTGACAACGGCGCGAAGCTCAACGCCCTCGACGCAGACGGATATTTTGCTCTCTCCCAAGCTCTCCGAGCTGTGGCCGCGCGCGACGATGTCTACATCACCATACTGACCGGGAAGGGTCGGTATTTCTCTGCGTAAGTTCTAGCCAAATCTATTATTTTAAATGGAGGTACAATCCAGGAGAGCAATTGAGATGGGATGAGGCGAGGCTGGGCAGTTCAACACATAGCCAAAAAGAAGAAGTGAATTCTATCAACACTAAATTGAGTGAATTGGGCATCATAAAATAAGCACACAGGCGTGAATAGGCGCATCTCTCTCCATCTGGCCTCCATCGAGCTGGATTCCACACACATACACAATGTTTCACATACCAATCCTATCACCATGATCACTAACACCCATTCCTCCCCAGTGGCGCCGACGTCTCCGTCGGGCGCGCGGTGCCTCCCACCGCCGACCCATACAGGGAATGGCTACGGGGCTTCGTATCGCAGAACCTGAACATCACCGACGCCTTCGCGACGCACCCCAAGATCCTCATCGCCGCGCTCAACGGGCCCGTAGTCGGGCTCAGCGCCGCCTTGACCGCGTTCGCGGACTTCGTGTACGCGGCCCCGCACACCTTCTTGCTCACACCGTTCTCGTCTCTCGGACTCGTCGCCGAAGGCGGTGCTTCCAGGGCTTTAGTGCAGAGGCTGGGAATCTCGAAAGCGAATGAGGCGCTGCTTACGAGCCGACGGGTTACTGCTGATGAGTTGGTGGCGACGGGATATGTTAATAGGATTTTCGCGTGTAAGCCCGGCGATGATGAAGTGTTCATGAAGCAGGTTTATGCGGAGGTTGAGGATAAGCTTGGGGAGCATCTTATTGGGGATTCGCTGCTAGAAATCAAGAAGCTGATTAGACGGCCCGAGCGCGAGGTTCTTGAGAGACAGAATGTTGCCGAGGTCTTTGCTGGGTTGCAACGTTTCATGACCGGGGTGCCGCAGCAGGAGTTCCAAAAGCTGGCTTCCGGGAAGAAGAAACATAAGTTATGATGATGTGATGAAAGACGGCGATAGGGACGGAACCTGCAATTAGGCGTCATGGAATAATGCGACAGAACAGAAAGCCAGCGAGCAAGAGAGATACATATATATGTATTCATGTATTTATGTATGCACGCATGTATGTATGAGCATGCATCGTGCAAGAGGACTGCGGTCCATGCTTGGTCTATCTATGAAGAATTGTATAGTCCTCTTTCTATATAATCACTACGAATTTGCAACGCTCGCATCGTCGAGGTGTTCATACACAATTCACGCAGGGGTATCACGCTAGCAGACCGAACAACAAGGTCGTTCTCTTCCAGTACTCTTGTGCTGCTTTCTCAAGGCGGCGCTCCGCCTCATCATCTAGATCTGTCTTTTCCAGTACCTCGGAAGCGAGGTCTTCCATCGCCTTATCCGACTTGGTGTTATCAACGCTGAGATAGTGCTGCAGTAAATAGATGTCGAACAGCCACTGAATTAGAACTTCCTTTTCGCGCTCGGGAGATTTCTCGCCAGTTTTAGCCACTGTGTCGTCGTCGTCGTCGTCGTCGTTATCATGCGATGGTTCGCCGGTTTGTTTCTCGTCTTCGCTCATTTTAGACACAGGCTCGGCGTCTTCTCTATCCGGAACAGTCACGGCGAGTTCTTTGCGCCAGACGTCCGCGAGTTGTTGACTAAAACTGCGCTTAAAAGTCTTAACTGCGGCCGGAGTCCAGAGATCGGCCCCGGCATCACCCATGGACATAGTGATATTCCGCAAGAGTTTGAAGGAGCTTGGGGAAGGTTGAGTAGGCAAGGCCGGCTCTCCTTCCCATAACGCCCGGCCGGCTACTCGCTTTTGCGTCAGAGTCGTTGTGGCGAACTCCTCCAATGGCATCACAGACACGTGGGCGGCAAGCTTTTCATGTAATGAAGGGACATTGTCCAAGCCAAAAGATCGTATGCGCTCGAGCTTAGGTAGACGACCCCGGATATCCCGCAAGATGCGGAGGACATACATGGCAATCTGCCCGTTATCTAGGCCGTCCTTGCGACCTTGCCACAGCGCCGTGAGTTGCTGATCGAGGTTCTCGAATGCTTTTATCAGTGATTCGTTGAGTCGTTCATGAAGCAGTTGAGGATCCTGTTTACTCAAGAGGTCCTGCCTAGTCTCAATGACCTCTTCGTCTTCAATTTCGTCCTCATCGTTATCCCATCTCTGTCGCTTGAGTTGCTCTACTAAGTCCCCGACGTTGCCGATTATCTGGTGCCAAGATTCAAACCCGGTGACAGCTCGGGCCACGGCATCATTCCTGCCATAGACACGCGATAAAACTGCATGGGTGACATGTGCCGCGCCGAGAGAAAAGTCCAGCTCGAGCATCTCATCATCCCACAAACCGCGTTGGCGATCGGTGATGCCTGATTGCCATGCCTCTATGGTAGCAGCTACTTCAGACCCGACGAGTTTAAGCTTTGCGACCTTGTTTTCTATAAGTTGCAAGAGATGATCGTTGATGGCTTTTCGCAACCCGTCGAGCATGACAGACGGGTCAAACCCTCTTGCCTTCCCACCATCTCTAACCCATTGCTGCAACGTGCTTGTACGTAGCTCTATGATAGCTTTGAATTCGGATACGTGCTTGAGCGTTTCGCTTAGCCCACCAAGGACAGTTTCACCGCCCTTCTTTGCCCAGTTCATTAGCATTTCCCGGGCTGATTTACCATCCAAGTCATCATGTCTTATGAATGGCGTAAAGTAGCGAATTTCGTCGCCACACCACCTCTCAAAAACGTCCAGCCGAAGACCCTCTAGAGACCGCAACGAGTCATCAGCCAGAAGTGGACTCTTTTTGAGCTGCAATAAAGCCTCCGGTAATTTGTTGGGGATCAATGTTTGCACATCTACTAAGGTCCTGGTATATAGCTCGAGACCTCTGAGGATGTTGTCTGTACCCTTGTCCTTGTCGTGTTCCTCATAGTCAAATTCGTATGTGATTGCCTCAGCCCGAATACTGAGGAACCGCCGTAAGGCGTCTCTGGTACCAGAACTTGATGATAGACTATACGCCGATAAAGCCTTGAGTATCTCGGATATGTTTGTCCCCTCTCCGGCCCGTTGCAGTACCTTCTCGATGGCGCGCGCCAGCTTTCTCCTCAGCCCGTCCATGCTTTTCTTAGCAGCCTCGACGGCGGCCTTGATGTCCTCCTCTCCAGATTTCAGATTCCCGAAGCTAGACACGAGCAATCGACTGAGAACGAAGACTTTCGCAGCTAGCACGAGTCTGTCGCCTCTGGCTCCCTCAACATCCTTATCCTTGCTTGTGCTTGCTCTCAGGAGTCGGCTGACAGAGAGCCCGCAGGCTTTTAGGAGCTTGACGCGTGCAGCCTGGCTCAGTGCAGCTTCGGCCGCCTCGTTCCCGCGAAATTGCCCCAAGCTTGCGACTTTCGTGTTAACGACAGCGCGCCCGCACTGGCTGCCCATATGGCCGAGTACGTCCTGCGCTGACCGCATGTCCTCCCGCATCTGCACGATGGTGTCTGCGGTGCCGAGCAATTGGCGATAGCTATTGCCGACCTGCGTGCGCAAACGGGTCGCCTTCTCGTCGATTTGGGTGTGCAGCGTCTTATGAAGAGCGCGGATTTGCGGCAGCGTGTTCGTCGTGAAGATTTGTGCTGAGCTCGTCAGCGTCGACGTGTTCGGTGTAGCCATTGTTGTCGGCGTGAGATGGCTCGGCTCATCCCTGGACAGGAGAGGCACAGAAGTCTATAATCTTGCTATCGTGGTCGCAGCATTTGTCGGATGTCTTTGAATTCGAACCATTTCGCGCTTGGTAGCTGAGCACATTCAAGTTTAGTGGCCCAGCAGGAAAGTACCTGGCTATGTATAAAGATACCTACGTAGGTTTAGAAGGTACATTTCTAGGTGTGATTGTAAAACAAGTTTCAAATTAGGATAGCAATTGCGTAGCAAACAATTACAGTTCAGAAAACTGCTCGGCACTCGGCGTCAGCATAATCTTAACGGATGATTAAGGAAGCTCATTGAAAAAAAATTCTACAAATGCGAAAGCAATCCTCAAAAGAAGAAGAGCAAAAGTTAAGTGATGAGAGTGGGACTCGAACCCACGCGGATTGCTCCACTGCGAAACTTGTTCAGAGTTAATCTACATCTGTAGTCTCCTGAACGCAGCGCCATAACCACTCGGCCATCTCACCATTGGATGAACGACATGCATGTTGCCATGCGTTATAGACAACCCGCCAACAAAATTGATCAGTTCTGGAAGGTGCTCCTTTTACAAGATATGTGAGAAGAATTACTTCCAACAAGTAATAAAAATCACTACCTAGTGATTGCCAAGTCCATCCATTCCAGCACAGCAACATTACCCATCTTGTCCTCGGAGTGAGACATGATTGAAATTGGTCGATCATACAAGTTTCCGTATCATAGGGCTGGCCACATTAAAACATCCGACAAAAGTGACCCCGCGGTTCACAACACCAAATCCTCGGGAGTCTGACAAACAGCACACAGCATTGGTTCTGTACTAACATTCGGGCCGCTCAGGAGCCCCCACGCGAATTATTTCATCGAACAAGTTGTCACCTGCATTTTTGCAGACTGTTTGTCACTGAACAGTGTCCAATCTCTTATCAACATGGGCTGCAAATGCCTCGCCTTTAGGAGGCAAGCAAATTGGTCACCGCCTCTGCTCACCGTTTACCGTCATGTTACAAGCGTCTTTACATCGTAATATTGGGTTATGCCATATCTCGGAAACAGCACCAAGTCGGGCCCCCAGACAGTCACACATACATCGTCAGGAAGCTGATTGGCCACAATGAGCAAAAATTATCATAACAGTGCAGCCGTACTTATGCCTTGCCCGCGTTTATGCTTGCACGGATGGGGCTGATCTCTGTCACACGGGACAGTCCCGACTATTCAACTGCGGTAGCCCTTTTCTCGGCTATTGATGTGTGTGCGGATATGTTCTCACTCCTTCTGTCCCTCAGGAATCGGCAACAGAGCGGCCCGAAATCCAATCAATTCATACACAAGTCTAAATTGAATTCTCACAACAGGCGCCTCTACCATGCCAGCCCGCCAGCATCAAACCAGCCCAGAAAGCAGAAGGCTTTAACTGTTTGATATTCACTTTCAGATTTTAAAATTTCTCCCATCCTACCACGGTCCCGAGTGTTATGCTGTCACGAATTGTGGTAATGGGCCGTGAAATGTCTTATGGGGGAACTGGGGATCTAGTGTTGAATTACCAGACTCGAAGATGATGGTAGCACAAGACAACGTCTCTTCGTACTCTTGACTTCAACCGACATAGTACGCGACGGCTCACCGTAGTCCCTCGGCCGTAACCCGCGCAAGGGGACACGGACATTCTTGATCGTTCTGAGAGTAATTACTGCTTGACGGCATGTGTAACAAGCCTCGGCAGCGAGAAAGGAAGCTCGCAAATCACTTGGCATACCCGACTGTTTGTGACCGTGGTTCGGGGCCAGTCGCCTGCTCCATCCGCTTGCATTGCATATACTGACCTCGCGCTATAAATAGGTATCCTAATGGGCATATATCGTCTTCAATTAGCTAGCAAGCTGCAATATTCTTATCGTCGTTGACATGATTTATTATTATGCCTAAATAATTGGCCATCCCAACTTAGAAACTGAACTGAAAATACTCATCGTCATTTTACATTCCTTCATCTTTACAATTAGCCTATGCTAACGAAAAGATCACCGCAATGACCATGCCATCATCTACAGATCCGTTCCGTTATACTAGTTATGACCAGGGTACTATTATTGCTGTTATTATAACCCTCACAGCCCTTGCTTTCCTTATAGTCTGCGTCAGAGTAGCTGGTAAGCTATCAATACACCAATTTGAGCTAGGTACGGCATCTATGGCATGACTATTCAACTGAGGGGCTAATGTCAACAATAGATGATGCTTTGGTGTGCATATCGATGGTAAGCAACAAGCAACTTACAGCTTCTTACGATGGTCATTAATTGATGAGTACGTACACAGCTGCTGTCGCTATTGGAAGCAGTAGCTACTTATATGTGTTAGTGTAAATGAAGCTATAGTCTGTTTTGAATTAGGTGTGCTAACAGTTGAAAGTTATCAAAGTCGATTTTGTAAACATCAGACCGCAAAATATCCCGCTTTACGACTACATGGTCCCCCTGATGTGGAATTATGCTATCGAAATTCTTTACACTCCAATCTTGGCTCTCGTCAAGACATCCATACTACTTTTGCTGCTGCGCTTGTTCGGGGAAAAACGAGGCGTGAGGCGCTTCATCATTGGGGTGAACGTGGCCAACCTTGGAATGATGGTTATAATCTTCATTGGCGCAGTCCTTCAGTGCATCCCATTAAATAAGATTTGGCAGCCTGAATTAAAGGGCAAATGCATCAATAAGAAGATATTGTTCGCCGTCGGATCCTCGTTCAATATATTTACCGATCTACTTATACTGGGACTACCTCTCAAGATTTTTATCTGCTTGAAGATACCTCGACAAACAAAGATCGCCCTCATGATTATATTCCTACTCGGATTCGCGTACGTTCTCAATTTCTATTATGATGCGTCAAGAAGAATCGTATGATGAACTGAATGTAATTGCAATCTAGTGCAACCATAGCAAGCATTAGCCGACTCATACTACTGTTGCGCGGTATGTTCATGTGGACGTTGAATCTACGCCAGCGCACCAGCTGCAGCTTCGCGACAGCTGCTCTGGAGGTCAATCTCGCAATCATCACGGCATCTGCCCCTGCGTTACGACCATTATTCCGGATCTGGTTCCCCCGGCCATCCAGCACCCATCGCGACGAAATCGCCGGCAGCCCGAGGTACAGGGAATCGAGGACAGAAGCCGCACCAGTGACGAGGCTGGGGTCGCCATCACCGTTTCCGATCCAGATTCCGCAAGAGAGCCACGAACAGAACATGGCAATCGGTAGCTTTGCCAGAATTAATGACAATATCATCAAGAATAATACGGGGTTGGACACACTCCGGCCACCAGCACCTATCCGAGTTCCAGCACACCTTAAGAGTCAATGGCCAGAGAATTGGATTTAGGAATAGCCTTTCCTTATCTACGGTATAATAATTCACCTGTCATCGTGATGAATGTATGAGATCGCGAATTTTGGGGTATGGTGTGGAGGTGGGGAACACCAATCACTCAATTCGCATTTATATGGCCCTTGGAGCTGGTCTCTAACGGGAGCAGTGGGTTTTGTTCAAACATCCGGGGCTCGTTAAGAGGCTATTAGAATTAGGAGCTATCCATAGACTCGAGGCACATGCCGATAAATTTCAAGATTTTGATAAGGAAGCCCAATTGCTAAACATATGTCTTAGCGCGTAGGCGAAGATCTAGACTCGAGATGATAGACATGTCGATAGATGACATCAAAACGGCTCAATCAATTGAGCCGAATGAAAACATTTACTTACTTTCCGCGATTGTCGCAAGCAAGGGAGGGAAAAAAACAAGCAAACATCCCGCGCGGACACTCCAACTCGCGTGCGTCATGCAATTCTGACGGGCAGCAAAAAGCGACAAGTTTCCTCGCGAATCCACCCGCGTAGCAGACTCACGATCGCGATGGTGACTAACAATGACCTGAAAAGAATGCAGGCTGTAACTTCACGGCCGACGATCAATAGCCTCGATTCCGGCACTGCATTGCACATCCCCCCAAGCTTCTTTCTTCCCGGACGGCTTTCCTATCTGGCGATTTGGCGATCTCAGATGGCATGGTGCGGGGGAGATAATAAGTACCCGATCTACATCTATATATGTACAATATCACGGTTTGGAACTTTTTCCCCCGCAGTTTCATTGGTCGGTATCAAGCTTCTCCTTGGTTAAAGACGTGTTTTCCTCCTTGGCATCTAGTTGTCCGTCTAAAAACAGCGAGCAGCGCGATCTCCCTTGCATGTGATATAGGACCGAACATGGTGGTTCTGGGAATGCGATGACTTCATCTCAATGCGATTTCATCTCTATGCGTCAGAATTTGCGGCCGGGATCAGGAACTTCTGTTGTATTTTGATAAATGTAAGGTATGTACGTAGAAGAAAATGTCTCGGCCTTTTATGAATGAACGGCCCTCAGCGATGGGATAGGAGCCCGCTACTGTACATACCCGGCCGCTTGGGTTTACCGACGGGTGACTGATGTCTGCAGATGTTGTGCGACACACCTATCTAGAAATGTTGCAAATGGGTATTATACACATATACAACGTAGAAGTAAGTTCTGGGCTGGCCTTTGAAAAGAATGGCTTGCAGACTATGATATGTGGCTAAAGCCACATGACACTTAAACGCGCCTGACTTCTCAACGTTTGCTAGACATGCGACCTACATAATAACAAGTAGATGGAATCTTAGTCATCCTGCTGTTGAAGCCCCCTTATAAGTATGTGCATGCATTCTGGAATCTGGAGAGAGACTGATATGAAGGACTAATCGTGACCTTAACCAAAGCCGAGCTAACACTGGGCCAGAGCATGAAAAAGTGTGCGAAAAGGTTCATAAGACCAACTACCAACTTAGCGAATGACTATTGACAAACGTATGATAACGCCATTAGAACTGTCCAGATCCAATCCTCAGTTGCAAGCACACGAGATCTTCGACATGATACATTCATTCAACGCTTAGTCTCGAAGATGGTCATCCACTTTGCGGTCGGCGCACAGTCGAAGATGGTCTCGATAGTGATCGCGCAGCTGGTGATCACGGCGAGAAATGGGGACTTGGGCTGCTCGCTGACGCTGGCGGGCGGGTTGTGCCGTCCTTCTGCTTACTGCAAGTGGACGAGTCCGCTCGTAATGCCGCTCCAGGTCGGCTTCCTTGCGGAAATAGACAAACATTGTCTTCGTCTGGGTGGAGGTGTAAGTATTTGCGCGAGGTTACTTTCATTGCTGAGTGATATGGTGACACGGCATGAGGCCGGTATACTTGCATTTCACTATCTATAAGTCTATAACAAACGTACCTGTCTTTGGAGTTTCTCGTTGTTAGATAGGAGCAGGCTTTTGGGTGCAAAGCCTAACAGCAAACAACAGAACTGGTCAGGGTCCACGCTAGTTAGTCTTGGCCAGCAGTTAGTGGGTGGTGGGGGCTTGGTCTCGTGCTAGAGTAAAGAGCGCGCCGGTC